CGGCGTGGAGGGTCTCCACCTGCAAGGCTGAGTGCCTGGGCCCAGCCAGCCCAGCTGCCTGGGGTGCAGGTATTGCACATGGTGTGAGAAGGTCTCCACCTGCAAGGCTGAGTGCCTGGGCCCAGCCAGCCCAGCTGCCTGTATTGCACATGGTGTGAGAAGGTCTCCACCTGCAAGGGATGACTGCCTGGGCCTGGCCATCCTTGCTGTGCAGGGTGAGGGCCATGCATGCAGTGTGAGGGGTCTGTACCTGCAAGGACTGAGGGTCTTTCCTGGCACCCTGGGGCATACAGCTGAAGCAGGGGGCCAGGGGCCATCTGAGTTGGCTGTCTAAGCCCTGTGTCTCCCTGTCACCAGGACCCAGAGGTGGGAGCTGGCTCTGGTCTGGTGTGTGCAACCTCTCTGCTTACGCCCTGGGCCACGACCTCCTCCGTCTGACCCGAGAGCATTGCTCCAATGCTTTCTGAGCTGTCTCCCGTCCCCAGCACACCAGTCCCCGGGGAGCAGCGCCCCACGCCAGCCCACTGGCTTTTGCTCCCCACCGCCTCTGAGGCACAGGGGCAGGTGCACCTTGGTGACCACGTGGCCTCTGTGTGGGCCGCCCGTGGGGGCCTGGCCTGGCCCAGGCTGCCCCGACACCAGCACTGTCTTCAGAGAGTGAAACCACTAGAAGAGGACGCAGCCTGTCCCGCCCCCGCGGGGCCTGGCCGTGCAGGTGCCAGGCTCGGGGGACACTGCCAACCTCTGACATTGAGCACTTCTCTTTGGAGTAAATATCAGTGACTTTTAAATTATTATGATTATTTAATATAATAATTATTTTCTCCATCCCTGCCACCTCCCCGGCTGCAGCTCCCCACTCTCAGCTAAGCCCCAGTCTGGGAGGCCCTGCCTCCGTCCCTGACCTGTTCCCTCCCAACCCCGCCTCTGATCTGCTTAGTCGTTTGAAACCACTAAATCGAGATAGATGTGTGTAGTTAAGGAAACACGGTGAGCTGTGTCTGGCCACAGCCCTTGGCCTGTGCCAGCTGACCACTGCCACGTGGTGGGTCATCGGGGGCCCTGGCCCTGCACCCTGTGGGCAGAGGACCCGGCCTGGCAGCTCAGTGCAGATTCTCGGGCTGGGGATGGTGGTGGGGTGTGGGCACTGTGAGGGGCAGGAGGGACCTTTGGTTCATGTCATATCATGAGGAAGCCACTTGCTCTGTGTTACTGGGGGACAGACTGGGACAGGCTAGTGGAGGGAGTCTCGGGCTCGAATCTGGCCGCAGAACGCCGTGCTTTATGGCCCTGCTGTTGTTTGCTGGGGACAGTGTGACTTGCACTAACCTGGCTTGCTTTGAGGGTGTGGTGCATGTGTGTTGTGAGAGTGTGTGTGCTGGCGTTGGTGTGTGTGTGTGTGTGCTGGCGTGGTCAGCGTGTGTTGTGTGTTTATACTGGTGCAGTCAGTGTGTGTGTGTGTGTGCTGGCGTGGTCAGCGTGTGTTGTGTGTTTATACTGGTGCAGTCAGTGCTTGTGTGTGTGTGTGTGTGTGTGTGCTGGCGTGGTCAGCGTGTGTGTTGTGTGTGTACTGGTGTGGTCTGTGTGTTGTGTGTGCTAGCATGATCAGTGTGTGTGTTGTGTGTGCTGGCATGGTCAGTGTGTTGTGTGTACTGGTGTGGTCAATGTGTGTACTGGTGTGGTCAGTGTGTGTGTGTGTGTGTGTGTGGTGACGTGGTCAGTGTGTGTGTGTCTGTGTACAGGCGTGGTCGGTGTGTGTGTTTTGTGTGTGTGTGTGTGTTCTGGCGTGGTGATTGTGTGTGCTCTGTGTGTGTGCTGGCATGGTCTGTGTGTGTGTGTGTACTGGTGTGGTCGGTGTGGGTTGTGTGTGCTAGCATGATCAGTGTGTGTGTTGTGTGTGCTGGTGTGGTCAGTGTGTTGTGTGTACTGGTGTGGTCATTGTGTGTGCTGGTGTGGTCACTGTGTGTGTGTGTACTGGCGTGGTCAGTGTGTGTGTGTGTGTCTGTGTGTGTACAGGTGTGGTTGGTGTGTTGTGTATGTGTGCTGGCATGGTGTGTGTGTGTGCTGGTGTGGTCGGTGTGTGTGCTGGCATGGTCTGTGTGTGTGTGTGTGTGTGTGTGTACTGGCGTGGTCAGTGTGTGTGTACTGGCGTGGTCAGTGTGTGTGTGCTGGCATGGTCAGTGTGTGTGTGTGTATACTGGTGTTGTCAGTGTGTGTGCTATGTGTGTGTGCTGGCATGGTCAGTGTGTGTGTGTACTGGTGTGGTCGGTGTGTGTGTGTGTACTGGCGTGGTCAGTGTGTGTGTGCTGGCATGGTCAGTGTGTGTGTGTGTGTATACTGGTGTGGTCAGTGTGTGTGCTATGTGTATGTGCTGGCATGGTCAGTGTGTGTGTGTACTGGCCTGGTCAGTGTGTGTGTGTGTGTGTGTGTGTGTGTGTGTGTACTGGCATAGTCAGTGTGTGTGTGTGTGCTGGCCTGGTCAGTGTGTGTGTGTACTGGCCTGGTCAGTGTGTGTGTGTGTGTGTGTGTGTGTGTACTGGCAGTCAGTGTGTGTGTGTGTGTGTGTGTGTACACTGGCATAGTCAGTGTGTGTGTGTGTGTGCTGGCGTGGTCAGTGTGTGTGTGTACTGGCCTGGTCAGTGTGTGTGTGAGTGTGTGTGTGTACTGGCATAGTCAGTGTGTGTGTGTGTGCGCGCACGCGCGCGTGCATGCTGGCATGGTCAGTGTGTGTGTGTCTGTGTGTGTGCTGGCGTGGTCTGTGTGTGTGTGTGTGTGTGTGTGTGTGTGTTTGTGTGTATGTGTGTGTGCTGACGTGGTCAGCTTGGCCGTGCTGTGCTGTCAGTGGCGTGGTGCTGCCTTACGTTCCCAGAGCCTGTCACCCCGGGCTCCATCTGGTGGGTGTTCTGGTGGCTGTGGGCTGGGCTCTGGGTGGGCTGACAGTGTGGACACAGGAACTACTGAATGAATGGGTGTCTCAGAGCCCCAAAGGTCTCCAGAAAACCCGGGGGGCGTCTGTGTTTTTAAAAGAAAACCTATTTGTGTGGCTGTGCATCTCGCCATCCCTGTGTTGTTGTACGTAAGAACGTTTATTCTCCTGTGGTTCAGAGTGCACCGGACATGTGGCTGCGGCTGCGTCCCCAGACCGCAGTGTGGGTGCAGGACGCTGGGTTTGTCCCTGGTCTGGTGCAGGCCTGGCTGGGGGGGTGGCCCCTGCCCTCTGCTGTGTCCGCACCCGCCGGACCCCGAGCAGCACAGCTGGCCACACACCCTCATGACATGACAAGACTGTTACTCAGTCACTCTGGGGTCTATGAAGGACGTCAAGTCAGAGGAAGGTTTTTATTTTTAATCAAATACCACATTTAGCTCTATGTCATAAGTATTCAGAAAAGTATTTTTTTAAACAAGGCAGACCGAAATGTCTGCTAGCGAGTTGGTTTCTATACAAACATATATTCGAATGTCTTGCTGGATGAAGAGGCCGCTTGGCCGGAGCCTCCTGTTTCATGCGCTTCTCTTCTGTGGGGCAGTAGAGGACAAAGGGCTGTTGGGAGGGGCTCGGCCCGCTCCTTGGCCAGGGGACCCAGCCACCTTCTCTGCACCGGGCCCCGTCATGAGAGACCTGGACCCCCAGGTGACTTCTGGCCAGGTGTGGGTGGGCGGGAGGGGCCCTATGTGTGCTCCGAGTCTCCATGCGTGCAATGATTTCTCTACCTCATCTGTGTGGCCCGTCCCGGAGGGACTGTGGAGAATGTATTTATTTAACAGCTTTGTGTCACAGAACCGGAAACAAATGGAAACACGAAATAAATGTATTTTAAATTATAGCCTCATCTCAGTCTGCTGCCTTCACAGGGGCTTCTGTGGGCCTGAGGAAGAGGACAAGAAAGGAGGCTTGGAGGGGACGTGGGCTCGGGGAGGAGGAGGAATGGGGAGGAGGGATCAGGGAGGAGGAAGGGGGAGGTTTTCGGGAGAAGGGGTATCTAGGGAGGAGGGCCTGGGGAAGAGGAGGACCTCAGGAGGAGGAGGACCCGGGGAGGAGCAAGACCAGGGGAGGAGGAGGATCCTGGGAGGGGAGGAGGAGGACCTGGGGAGAGGAGGACCTTGAGGAGGAGGAGGACCCTGGGGAGGAAGACCTGGGGAGGAGGAGGGCCCTGGGGATCAGGAGAACCTGAGAGGAAGAGGACCTGGGGAGGAGGAGGACCCAAGGAGAAGGACCCTGAGGAGGAGGAGGAACCGGGGAGGAGCAGGACCTGGGGAGGAGAAGGACCCTGAGGAGGAGGAGGAACTGGAGAGGAGCAGGACCTGAGGAGGAGGAGGACCCTGGGGAGGAAGACCTGGGGAGGAGGAGGACCCTGGGGAGGAAGACCTGGGGAGGAGGAGGACCCTGGGGAGGAGGAGAACCTGGGAGGAGGAGGGCCCTGGGAGGAGGAGGACGCTGGGAGGAGAAGGACCCTGAGGAGGAGGAGGAACTGGGGAGGAGGAGGAGGATCATGGGGGGGG